CACAGAATGGTTCAGAAGCACAGTTTATCTAGAAAGCACATCCCGAGGGCCAGGGAAACATCGAGAGAGGAGACTCATCATATCCCTTCTTGTCATTCATGTTAGCACATGTGCTGCTGAAGGGAGCTCATTGCACTCACTTTCGAGCTTGAGCTGCATGACTACTAAACATAGGCTTCTCCACAGTGTCTTCTCACTGCCATCAGTCCGGAGTCTTTGCTCATAGAGTAGAATTAAATTTCCTGGTATTTGCCTGGAGCACATTTCTCATAAATTCTGGGTAAGAGGAGAAAAAATTGTTCGTCCATCCACATTGCACTATGTATGTGCCTTTATGTCATTAATGGAATTACAAAGTATGAGTGTCTCAACTTAAAGATCCCTGAGCTCTGAGCCATTTCATCAATAATGTTTATGATCCGAAGGAAAGTTACTGGAGGGACAGAATATTTTATTTCTTTTTTTTTAATTTATGAGGATTAGAACAGAGAAAACATTTTTTTAGGCAAGCATCAACAGCAATGAGCTAAATCCCCACACCAACAGTGCAATTTTTTTGTGCCTACCTTATCCCTTATTCATTCTTCTCCTCCAGATTCATACTGACAGTTCTCTATTCCATGTCGGGACTCAAGCACTACACTCATTGTTTAGAACAATGTTCTTCTCTCTTAGGGCTCCCTGAAATCACTTCTTTACTAGAAATCCTACAGAAAACACCCACTAAATTTTCTGTGGTTCATTATTACTGTACCACCTGCAGTTTTTCTTCTCTCTGATGATGTTCCAAGGGTACACAGATCTAATGAATGGGTTCTTTCCTGTTTTGCAAGTTAGTTAGAAATGTTTGGATGGTTATGAAGTTGAAGAAAGTGTATGGAGAAGCAGAATAGAATCAGAATGACAAAGGGCTGGGCACTTAGCTCAGTGGTTCCACTGCCTGGCCCCTTCCTCCAGCATGAAAAAGGGAGGCAGAGAGAGAGCGAGAGAGAGAGAGAGAGAGAGAGAGAGAGAGAGAGAGAGGAAGAAGATGAGGAAGAGGAGGAAGAAGAGGAAGGAGGAAGGAGGAGAAGAGGGGGAGGAGAGGACGGGAGGGGAGGGAAGGGAAGGGAGGGGAAGAGGAATAAAAAGAAAATAGAAGTGTGTATTGCCTGGGATTTAGCTCAGTGCTTCCATTGCCTGCCTTGCAAGCACCAGGTCCTGAGTTCCATCCCTGATAAACGCCACCCCCCAAAAAAACCCCAGTAGGAATAACGTTGCAAAGTGTTTTCTGATTTTCTTCTCCAGTATTTTATTTTTTAATAACTTATAGGTTTGTGAACGCCTGCTGTGCTTCCCTGACTTTCTTGTCGGTTTATCAGTGTAACCTCTCAACTGTCGAAATGCAGGTCTTCACATCTCCCGCGTATCTTTCTGTTTCAAAGTTGAGTGGTGAACACTTATCACGATCTTACTGTAATTCTCTCCTAAATAGCTGGGCCAATGAGAAGGTATTCATTGAGTGTCTCTGTCTGAGCATGTCTCATTATCCCTCAGTCAGAACTCATAATCGAGGTGATAGTGGCAGGGAAAATATTCTAGACAGAATTCTGATACCATTTTCTACACTCGGACTTGATTCTACAGCATTTCCTGGATTTCTGAAGAGTTTATGTGATATCCTATCATTTCATCGATTAGGTTCATTGAGAACCTATGCATATACTCCTTCAAATATCTTGTATACAATGGTAGATGTCTTACAGATGTAGTATCATAAGACTAAAACCTACCTTTCAACCATGGGTCTACACTCTTCCTCTCACTGATGGATTGCTTCTTTAATTCTGGTCAGTTTTCTCAGAAGGACTCCTCCGAGTGGTACTCTGTGCATATTTGTTGGTATGCAAAAGACTGATTTGCTGGCTTGCTCTATGGTGCACCCAGAATGGATGAGAACCAAACTTTATCTGGAAAGCACATTTTGAGAGCTAGGAAACATTGAAAGAGGAAACTCCTTCACGTCTCTTCTTGTCATTCATTTTTGCACACGTGCTGCTGAAACAAGCTCATTGTCACTCACTTTTCAGCTTTGAGCTGCATGACTACTAAGCATAGGCTTCTCCGCAGGATCTTCTCTCTGCCTTCAGTCCACAGTCTTTGCTCCTGGAGTAGAAGTAAATTTCCTGGTATTTGCCTGGAGCACATTTCTCATAAATTCTGGGTAATAGGACAAAAAATTGTTCATCCATCCACATTGCACTATGTATGTGCCTTTATGTCATTAATGAGAGTCTCTACTTGAAGATCCCTGAGCTCTGAGCCATTTCATCAATAATGT